TTGCACAACTCTGTAAATGTATTAAAGTCATTGATTTGTACACTAACAATAGATATTTATGATATGTAAGCTACATCCAAGAAAACTGTTAAAATAATGATAATAATAATAATATAAAGTTATCCACATGTGGTACTACTGCCAACTAGGATCCAATGAGCTCTGTTATAATTTGTCTCTGTTTCTAAAAACTCATAAAGATGGTGACTAATGCAGAACAGAAAATGAGCCCCTATTTCCTAAGAAGACAATGCTATCTTTTCAAACTTAACAACATTTTTAGTGTTCTTCACTATTATAATTGCTAAGTCTTTCTAGCCTTGCAGATGTAGCCAGTCCATTATCGAACTGTACATAGCAAATGCCTTTCTTAAAAGCCAGAAGAATTTCTTTGGCTTGTTTCAAACAGCTGTGTTTCTGAAGCCATAAGATGGAGTTTCAAATAAGAAATAAAAGGAGACTAATTTTTTTGAGCATCACATTTTGTTCTTTTTTTTTTTCTGTTCATTTCTCTTTAAGAGAAGAGGAAATAACATTTGTTGAGCATACAGTAAGTACAATACTTTGTGTTAGGTTCACTTACAATTATGAGATACACGGAGTTCATTTTATTTACAGATGAACAAACTTATTCTCAAAATTTACATGTGTTAGAGCTGAATTTCAACACAGGTATTTATAATTCCAAAACTTATTACCTATTCTCTCCACTCTGTTGCCTTGTGTTTTGCTGAGGACTTTCAAAACTATTGTACAGTTGTTGATAAACACTTATATCTTTGAAGTTAACAGGTTAAAAGTTAAAGGATATATTTTCTAAAAATTGTGAACCACTTAATAGAAGATTACATGCCTGTGTTTCTCTCTAGGTACATTAAAAATTATAAATCATGGTGCACCTGTACAGCTGTGTGTGTATACACACACATACATAGTTATGGGTATGAACAATAACTGTATAAATTCCTTGACTGTTGTCTCAGTTGTTCCTAAAATTTTGTAGTAATAATTACTTACATTTCAGGTCCTCCTACTAAATTGTTAGTACATTAAAAATCTGGGTCTTTGTTGTGTTCATTCTATTAATCTAGCACCCAACAAAATTTAAGTCACACCATGGATGATAAATGAATGATCATCAATGAATAAATATTTAAAAATGTATCCACTATGAGTTACAGAAACAGTTTACTTTATGCTATATACGTTTTTTAATAATGAGAAAAAAGTATATTTCCTTTATGAAAAAAAAATTCACTGTAGATATTGTTATAGCAGTGGCTTTCAAGCTTTTGGTTTGTGGAAACATATATCCTCTTTAATATTACTGAGTATCTCAAGCAGTTTTTCTTTATATATGTTACAGCTATATAAAAAATAGTATATTTTCCATATTATAAGTTAAAATTGAGAATTAAAAATATTTATTAACACATTTAAAATAATAAACTTGTTCCATGTTAAAATAAATATTTTATTAAAAATAACTATTTTATAAGCAAAATTCATGAGAAGGGGAATGCTGTTTTAAGTTTTTGTAAATCGGCTTAATTTGGACTTAACAGAAGCCAGTTGAATTTTCACAGCTACTTCTGTATCAAATCTCTCGTGAAGTCACACATTAAATAACCTCTGAAAAACTATATTGTATATTCATAAATGGATGAGCGTGAAAAAGGCAAATTCTGCCTTTGCATTACTATTAAAATAGTCTTGAATTGTGGACCCCCCCTGAAAAAATCTTTGAGATCATGAGGGTCCCACTGACATTATTTTGAGAACCACACAGGAGAAAGTTGAAAACCAAACAAAACAAACCATTACTTCTCTCTTCTATTCTGAAATTATTTTTGTTTTCCTAAATAATTTTTTTCTTTTATTTCCCAGGTATGCTTGTTTTATATAACTTTTATAAACTATTTATAAAGTTAGAACTGTCTATTAAAATATTATAAAAGGTTCATAGTAGTTTTACTATCAATGAGTTTATGTAACCAAAATTAAAATTCACTAATGGCCATTTTCCACCATAAAAGAACAGATATACTACATTTTATTCTTTACTACTTCCTTGATTAAATCTTTGTCTTGTCTCACAAAGACAGCTAAATTATTAGTTTTGCTAGCTTTTTCACTATTGATGAAGTTTTGCATACCGCTGTTTCACTGTGAACATGAAAAACAGACAGTAATTATACAATTTTATTATGGAAAATTTAAACATATGGAAATGTAATATAAGACTACAATAAAATCCAATGTGGTTAATCTCTAAGTCCAACAATCAACAAATTATGTTCAATTTTATTTCATCTACATCTCCACCATTCTCTACCCTTAGCTAATTTTGAAGTAAATTTCAGATGATATCATTTAAATCTGTAAATATTTTAGTTTGCATTTCCAAAAGATACACTCAGTGGTAATTATAGTTAATAACAATATATTGTATTATAGAACAATGCTAAGACAGTTGTTGTAATAACTCTAGCTAATTAATATCAGCATTATCTCATGTAGTTATCACTGTTTCATGAAACATATAAACTTGTATATATACTTCAAAACATCGTGATGTATATGATACCATTTTATCAATTTAAAAAATACATAAATTCAACTCAAACATTAACATATAAATGAAAGTATAGCTAACAATAAATCCTTAATATTACCAAATATTTAGTCAATCAAACTAGGCTTTTTGTTGGGCAGAAAATGACACAGATACTAGCCAGGAGTGTAAATGTTCTTTGCCATCGTTTCCCTGGCACTGGTTTAAAACTTCCAGACACTGTCAAAGATTGTAACTTCTGGTTCTAGCCTCATATGGAGATGTATTTAAAACAATTAAAAGTAGAAGTAGAATATAAAATGCAGATTGTTTTAAAAGACTTAATATAGTATGGGATTATTTTTCCTAAGACATATGGAAAATATATTCAGTAGTAATCAATACAGGGTAACTATAACAAGGAAACCATTTTTAGTATTACTTTAGGTAGATATCAAAAGAAAAAGGGGCATTCAGAGAAAAGATATAGTACATTACTAGCAAATTTATTGTCCAAAACAATAACCTTTTCTCTTTTTGTGAAATGTATATACGGAAGAAATTGAATTTACTTTTGAGACTAGAATATTTACTAAAGAGCTAGCATTTATTTTTGCAATGTTATGTTTTAAAACTTGTTTCTAGTTAAAGTAAAAGAATAACTAAAGAGTAGGAAAGATAAATAATAAGGTTGAAGGAATAGTTCTTTTTTTTTTTGTAGAGTACTTATATGTATCTTTTTTATTATACTTCATGTTCTAGGGTACATGTGCACAATGTGCAGGTTTGTTACATATGTATACATGTGCCATGTTGGTGTGCTGCACCCACTAACTCATCATTTACATTAGGTATATCTCCTAATGCTATCCCTCCCCCCTCCACCCACCCCACAACAGGAATAATTCTTAATAGAGTATAAAATAATACAGCTAGAAAACAGGCACATTGGCATAGGTTCTGATGATTTAGGAAAAAAATGATTTTAAGATTTCCATTGTACATCATGAAAAAATAATTTTGGCATTGTTAGAAAATATTATGTTGTTTTGCTTTATGAGCTGGAGGAAACTGAAATCGTTTTTAGCAAGTAATTACTTCCACAAAAGGAGCCCTTGGATTTTAAGATTCACCCTGGAATTCATCAGGACTTAAAATACAGTTTGAACAGCAATAAAACTTGAAAGTCTGAATTATCTCTCTCTGGTAGAAGAAAAGTTACCTACTCTTAAAAGGAAAACAACATTAGACTCCTAATCAATTCATTTTCTGTGAAAATAAGAAGAAATTTGCTCAAAGCAAAACCTGTTCCTCGTCCACATGTTCCACTGTCTAAGATCTGCAAGGAACAATAGCAATTACACTGAAGAAAGACCCTGTTTGTTATATCAGTGCTTAAAAAAGAAAATACAGTACATATACCATGTTAGATGTACTGCCTATACATATATAATACATAAATTATATGTATTTGAATATTTTCTATTGATGCACATTTTCCATGAAATTCGAAGAACATACTTTACTAAAAATATAGATAATATTCATTTTTTGAAATTTCATTAACTTGGAACAATTTATATTTCATCTCATTGATTTAAATATGGACTATTTAATTATAATATAAAAATGTCATATATCTTTCAAAAAGCTTCCAGGTCATGAAAGGCAAAGGAGGATTGAGGACCTATCAGATTGGAGGAGTTGCAAGAGTCAAACAATTAAATGCAATGTGGGATCCTGAATTAGATCCTGAACTGGATCCTGGACCAGAAAAAAAAATGGTGGGTTAGTGGAGAAATTCAACATTTGTATAAGGCTTATAGATATTTTAATATTATCATATATATGTTAATTTCCTGGGTTTGATCACTTTTTTGGGATTAGAAGTTAACATTAGTAATGTTGGGCAAAGAGTGGGCAAAAGGAATGTCTGTATTACGTTTGGAAATCCAAAATTATTTCCAAATAAAAAGTTCACCATTAGCTTTGGCTTATAAAGGAACACAAACAAACAAAACCCCAGCATAAATTGACAGTGTTCAAGTTGAGTAGAAATAGGGGAATTTATTCTTAGAAGAATTCAAGACAGATTTTTAATTTCCTGTGTAAGAATGTCTTGTATTCCTACAACCAGTGACCATATTTCTTAATACAGCAATTCCTGCGGAGCATTGTAATACCAGGTGCATTAAAACATATGGTTAATGAAAAGAATGATGCAAATAGGTACCATTTAGTACCTCCTCATATTGATGATCATGTCATAAATGTCTTTTATGTTCAAATGTATATCCTGCTTGTTTTTTTACATTTCTAAAAACACAATTTTGATATAAAAAGTTTTCCAAAATGTCCTGAGTCATCTAAAATGAAACCCAAATGTCAGTACATATGTCAATCTGACATTAGAATAAAAAAAATTAGATTATATGATTTGCTTTACCTGAAACTGTGTGATCCTTTGAGTCTCTTGTTATTTTTATCCTTGCGTGAGGAAAGATGTAGTGCATAGTTTTCCCGTTCATCTGTATGATCTAAGACATACATGTAATAAGGTAAAAAAACCAACATTAAAGACACTTAAAGTGCAATATATATAATTAGAATGGTTTATTTCAAAGCACATTGATTAAATTAATGGAACATAGTAGGAGATTCTCACATGATGGCAATTTAAACACCTTACATGAACACTATATAATGATATTGCTGGTTCTGAGTTCTTACGGTTTTTGCATTTGTAACCAATGGCTGTTGCAAACTGATTTGTTGTATTTGAAAAATTAATAAGTGCACGCAATAGGTTCTGAAGAATGTTTGTTACTACAGTAGTATGCAGTCAATATTGATGACCTCGGATAGAGAATGTATATGGAAAATGCCAGCTGCTGATTTTGCTCTGGACAGCCTAGGAATGGAAAAGCATTTTTAATTTTCAGCAATTAAGTGGTGCCGGGGAGAAAAAAACAGAGAAGATCCTCCTACTTTGACATCTCTATTATCATAATCAGGATTGCTTTATGTTTATGTTGCTTGATTTATTGTGGCACTGTACTTCTGCTGAGCCCATGTACTAGAAGTTTCATTGTAAACGAGATGCAGAGGCTAATTCTATATAAATAAATAAAGTCTTTGTTCACTTAATACTTTTTAAAATTCAAAGCTTGCATTATTGATAGTGTTATGTCTCCTAGACATTCCTTAGGGTAGAATAAGTAACACTTAAAGCTACTGTTGCAAATCTGAGATTTCAATTCTCATTATTGAGACTTGAATATGAGAATATTATAGATTGCATTATCTGTGTTTCCACCTGGTGAAATGAAGTTTCTGAAACAAAAGTAACTTGCAAAATGCAAACTTGTACTTTATATTTTATGGAACTTTGCTTTCAAAAGAGATTTATGAAATAATGAAAGACAGAAATGGCAAAATATTTACTCTTATCTGTATTAACAGGACTTTATTTGTATGGAATTTTGTATATACTGTCATAAGAAAATTTTGGACTTAAATTACAACCAAAATAAAGTTAAGATAGATGAAGATTTCATATTACCTATTTTAGAATGTTTAAGAAGTGTGTTTCCAAAAGATGAAACAGAATTTAGGACTAAAGAGGTATACATTTTGTGAAGAAAGTTTCCTTAGAAAACTCTTGTGACCTTAATGTGGCCTAGTATTTCCAGCTGTAAAATTGTTAGGATTCTGGATTTTAAAAATAAAACAGGTATTTTAAAAACTAAAGCTAAAATTTTAGCCTTTAGCTTTTTTTTCTCTTTAGGAAAGAATAAGGTTAAGCAGGCCTTAGGTTAACATAAAATATTCCCTAAACAATAGCGAAATCCTGTTAAATCCAGGAATATTATGTGAATTCTGCAGAGTAAAACAAAAATACTGTTTACTAAATTATAAAAACATTAGGGCAAGTATAATAAGTCAATTCAGATAATTCATGCTAATGTTAACTTTGTAAACCATTGAAAACCTTATTCATATTTGTAATAAGTGCTTACATTTTTCTTTTTCCGTCTCTTGCCTGCTGTTCACTTCTCTCCTGTCTCTCTTTTGTCTGTCTCTCAGTCTGCCTCTCACTCTTTCCTTTCTCTCTGTTACTTTGCCCTCCCCACATCTTTTTCTCCTACTTTCTTTCCTTCTTCTTCCTGTCTTTTCCTTTCCTAATCTGCATTTAAAAATCTTTATTTTGTACTAAAAATAAAATCGTGTGTATCGAAAATTTTGTAACTATTAGGTGTAACTACAGTTTGCTTTGGTACTGCAGATAATTCAGTAAAATTGGATGTTACTTCATTTTATTTCAATCTGTTCTAATCTCAGATAGTAGTTAATAATAATTCCAAAACATTATTCTTTCCATTTGGTCAAAAATAAACTAAGAAAACACAATTTTGTCTTTTAGTATTCTTTCCAATTTTCAGACTGGGGAGATGTTGATGTAATCTCATAGTGAATCTATCACACAGTTTAGAAGAGTCATCATCAGGCTTCCTTATTTTTTTAACAGTTTTATCAAATAGCCACTATTGCCTTTTATTTTATAGTAGAAGGAATGTTGCACATCTTAATTTTCTTGAATATTGCTTTCACAGCATCTCATATCATCTCCTATAGTTTCAGAGACTGTCTACGCTGTCTGCAAGCAGCTTCATAAATCCACTTAATAAATCAGAAACACGCAACTGCCATAATTATGATCAGCATGATCAAAAGTCTATATGTCTTCCATGTATGAATTAGATGTATCAGCTAGATGAATTTCAGTTTTTTAGTAACCACAGAGGGTGAATGTTGAGAGAGTCCTGTAGCAGATGGGGTTATGGGTAGGTGTTGCTACTGCCAACTAAGAGTAGGCACAAAGCCAAGGGGCAGAACTGATGTCAAGTGGTGCTATATTCCTCTCCCCAAGGGGATGGTCTCTGTTATCACTGTCTTTTGGTGATTCCTCATTGATAGGATTACTGCCTATGGGCCTCCCAGAAAGAGGGCTGTTCTTCCCTACCTACAAATATTTCAAAAAGAGTTATTTTCCATAAAGTTCATATGGAACCAAAAAAGAGCCCGCATCTCCAAGACAATCCTAAGTCAAAAGAACAAAGCTGGAGGCATCATGCTACCTGACTTCAAACTCTACTACAAGGCTACAGTAACCAAAACAGCATGGTACTGGTACCAAAACAGAGATATAGACCAATGGAACAGAACAGAGTCCTCAGAAATAATACCACACATCTACAGCCATCTGATCTTTGACAAACCTGAGAGAAACAAGAAATGGGGAAAGGATTCCCTATTTAATAAATGGTGCTGGGAAAATAGGCTAGCCATAAGTAGAAAGCTGAAACTGGATCCTTTCCTTACTCCTTATACGAAAATTAATTCAAGATGGATTAGAGACTTAAATGTTAGACCTAATACCATAAAAATCCTAGAGGAAAACCTAGGTAGTACCATTCAGGACCTAGGCAAGGGCAAACACTTCATGTCTAAAACACGAAAAGCAACGGCAGCAAAAGCCAAAATTGACAAATGGGATCTCATTAAACTAAAGAGCTTCTACACAGCAAAAGAAACTACCATCAGAGTGAACAGGCAACCTACAGAATGGGAGAACATTTTTGCAATCTACTTATCTGACAAAGGGCTAATATCCAGAACCTACAAAGAACTCAAACAAATTTACAAGAAAAAAACAAACAACCCCATCAAAAAGTGGGCAAAGGATATGAACAGACATTTCTCAAAAGAAGACATGCATACAGCCAACAGACACATGAAAAAATGCTCATCATCACTGGCCATCAGATAAATGCAAATCAAAACCACAATGAGATACCATCTCACACCAGTTAGAATGGCGATCATTAAAAAGTCAGGAAACAACAGGTGCTGGAGAGAATGTGGAGAAATAGGAACACTTTTACACTGTTGGTGGGATTGTAAACTAGTTCAACCATTATGGAAAACAGTATGGCGATTCCTCAAGGATCTAGAACTAGATGTACCATATGACCCAGCCATCCCATTACTGGGTATATACACAAAGGATTATAAATTATGCTGCTATAAAGACACATGCACACGTATGTTTATTGCAGCACTATTCACAATAGCAAAGACTTGGAATCAACCCAAATGTCCATCAGTGACAGATTGGATTAAGAAAATGTGGCATATATACACCATGGAATACTATGCAGCCATCAAAAAGGATGAGTTTGTGTCCTTTGTAGGGACATGGATGCAGCTGGAAACCATCATTCTTAGCAAACTATCACAAGAACAGAAAACCAAACACCGCATGTTCTCACTCATAGGTGGGAACTGAACAATGAGATCACTTGGACTCAGGAAGGGGAACATCACACACCGGGGCCTATCATGGGGAGGGGGGAGGGGGGAGGGATTGCACTGGGAGTTATACCTGATGTAAATGACAAGTTGATGGGTGCAGCACACCAACATGGCACAAGTATACATATGTAACAAACCTGCACGTTATGCACATGTACCCTACAACTTAAAGTATAATAATAATAAATAAATTAAAAAAAAAGAAGTGAGAAACTATTAAAGCTAATAAAAATATTAATTTAGAAAAAAAAAAGTTATTTTCATGAATCAAGCCTGTATATATAAAGAGCATGTTAACAAAAAGGGAATGAATTGAGCCCTTTACTTCATACACGGAAGACAGATAGCCTTTATGCCCTTTTTGTTAACTTACTGTGTATTCATACAGACATTCACCCATTCCCTCACTTAAATACCACACATTCTAGATGCAGGAGACAGAGTGCCCTGCTGGGTTCCTAGCACTGTACACATATATAACATGGTAGTTGGGATAGAGAGCTGCTGGCTCTCAAGAAGCTCACAGCCCAAGACCTAATACATGGGGTACTACTGGAGCACAAAGGAAGAACACTTACCCCAGATTTCTGGGGAAGTAGGGGTGGTAGTGTCAGGGGAGTCTTCTTGCATGATGGGGCATGTACACGGACACCTGGGTGATGATTAGGGTTTGCCAAGGGATGAGTGGAGGAAAAGTGTCCAAGGAGAGAAAACAGAACATTCGAATTCCTAGAATCAAGAGAAAGAGTGGCTCTTTCATGGGAATTTAATGTACCTCAATCAAGCAGTTGCAGAGGAATTGCAGATGATGTGAGTATAAGTGCAGAAAGCGAAGGGATTTTACAATAGTCAGGAAGTGTTGACCTTTACAACTACCCTGTGAAAGGTATTAGTCTTATTTATAGAGTAAGTGACTAAAGTAAAACTAAAAAATAAGAGATTAGGTTATCTGTGCAATTCACAAAGCAGAGCTGAATTTCTCCTGAAGAAGGCAGAGGTTAAGCATAGATAGATACATAGATAGATAGATACACACACACATACACACATATATAAGAATATATATATATATTTGAAATGAAGCAAATATGGATTTTTAGATTTGGTTTATTTTATAATTAATATGATTGTGTGTCTAATAAAAATTTTCAGAAATATTCTTCTATCCCTCTAATGTTTGTTTTATGCAAATGAGTTTTAAAAGGAGATAAATTAGTGTTTGCATTAGTATTATTGGTTTTATTACTTTTGCCTCCAAAGCATTTTATGAATATGAGTTCTTGTTATGCATATGTTTTCAAATAAAAGCATCTGAGTTTATTAGTACCAAGAGCTCAATATTAGCTTTTTATGATTAGAGATGCAAAGAAGTTAATAACATGAGAATGCCATTTTGTGATTCTCCAAGTCAAAATATAGTTATGATGAGTTAAAGAGGGAGACAGTATTTGAAGATAAATAATAATGCAAAAAGCATGAATTTTGAATTTTATATAATTCAACTCTTGAACTTCACGTAATTAAAATGTATGTTATAGTAGAATCTATTTAGAAAAAAATGATGAAGAAAAACAAATTATTTTCACAAAACTCAGCACATTTGTTACTTATTTGGGAAAGGGAGTGGTTATGATCTGGAAGGGAAATACAGGGGTTTTGGGGACAGGCAATGTTCCTTTTTTTGGCCCGTGTGGCAGTTTTATGGCTGTTCACTTTTAACTAGCTTATAACTTTGCATAGTTGCAGTTTCAGTAGTACATACATAGTTTTTTGTTTGTTTGTTTGTATGTTAGATGTGAAAATGTAAAAAATTATACAAATGTAAAAAATTACTTTTAGCAAGAATACACATAATTATACTCACCTAACAAGAATCCTTATGTTTCTACTTGAGAAGACATAGCAAGAAATGTATTAAATGATTCTCAAAAATACCTTCTCTGCTTAATTTTGACATTATATTTGTCTATAATTATATATTATTTAAACCATTATTACTATGTACTCAGTAGACCAAAACCATAAATCTGTATGTTAGTAACATAAAATTGAAACAAGAATGTCCTTAAAGATATGAATATTTCATTTACATATTTTTGGGCTGGACACTTTAATATATATCCTTTAAATTACTTTAAATATATCCTCAAAGAATATTAGTTTGATAAATTAGGTGGAAAAGACTATTCTCAGTGCCCATGGAAACAGTAGTGTTGATAATAAATATTCCTGTTTGTTAATTACTAAACAAGCTGCCCTTTCTATGCAGTTGATCTTACTATGATTTTGTTAAAGTATCTGTGTTTTCTTTGACTTGTTCTAGGTTTGTGGAAAACACTAAACTTCAGAGAAGCAAATGAGATGGGTAAGATATAACAAATATTCCATTTTAGAGAGATTCATATAATAAATACATTGAAGGAAGTTATTTTTAACTGACAAATTTGTAGATAAAAGGAGGTAAATTTAAGATTTTAAATGTGCAGAATAATTTTATTAATTTTCTTACTTTCTAGCCAGATCTATTTGATGAGATTTCAAACACAACCACAAATACAATTTTAATAGCAAGACAAGCTAATGAAAGCATAGTTCAATACAGGCTGATATGTTTACATGAAGTAAAAAAAATGGAATTATATTGACATTTTAATGGAGGTAAACATAAGCCTAAACAAAATATGTATTAAATATATAAAAAACTAAAGACAGAAATTTATAGTAGAGAGGAATTCTAAGATTTCTAGAAAATATGATAGCATATACAAAAACAGAACAAAATTCTAAGAAAAAATTCTGTTTAATAGGTAGAAATTTGTCTATGAAAACTTAAATTGCTTAGAAAGAAATCAAATCTAAGAGTATAGACAATGTATTTTAGACAGTACTTATAAATGTCAAAGCCTTGTTTTCTTTTATACCTCAAAATGACAAACACTGAATTAAATTATAGTAAGTCTATATGGATCTTCTCAGTTGTTCAAAATATGGTTGTTTTCTATATCAATGAATCACTAAACAGGATGATTTAGGAGTTAATGTAAATAAGTCAACTATTTATTTTGGATATTTTAATAATCATAATGAGTATACAACCTGCAAATATCTGATCTGGTAAGGCAATTGATTTAAGGCCACTTGGCTTACGTGAAGGTTCTCCTTCAATTCACTCAACTCTTAATCTCGTAGATGTATTTCAAAATTCAATTCAAACATCACCTCATTTGCTCAAAAGTGAGTAAGATCGTGAATTTCGGTGTCATATTTAATTGTGAAATTTACCTCTAAGTTTCAATTTCTTCATCTATAAGAATACACTGATTAGTAATATCTACTTTATGTGAGTTGTTCTGTATATAAAATTCAAAAATACATAAAAAAACAGCTAATATTTCCATGCAATAGATCCACTAAAATATCAGCTTCCTTTCTCCCCCAGGTTAAGCCTTCTTTCTATCCCAGCTCACTTGGTTTGGCCATCCTCTCACTTGTTCTTAGCATCTGAACAAGCATTGAAAATTACCCAAATCCATTTCACCCAGTCACTTGTAAGCTCTCAGATCTCCATATATTCTTGTTGTATAGCTGTGCTGGATATGTTATTCAGACTTAATAATGTCTGTTGGAGGAATCAATCACTTAAATTGGTAGAAGTATCACAGTCCAATTTCAATGAGTCATAGCTGATGAAGCAAGCTGTGTTACTCCTTTATGTTATTGGAAAAAAAAAATTGTGAAATTAATGGACAAATATCTCATTCCTTTTAGGACAACTAAGACCATTCTAACATAGAAGTGAGTCTTTTTTGATAAATCTAAAAGAAATTGCTAAATATAGCACTTACTTGTTCTTGATGCTGGCTGAGTGGTCTAGAGTGGACCAATCTTTCTGGCAGTTTTCGGTCCAGACAATGTCCATTTTCCAGACGAGACTCCCTGGGTTTATCAAACCAATCTGTTTCCTCACGACGCAGATGATAGGCTTTGGACACCAAGGAAACATCATACATTGCAACGGCAAGTAATATAGATGATTGAGGGCAGCAGATGTTCTGTAGTACTAGCATGCACTAGGCTTGTTAACCATACATGCATTTCAAACACATTTCCCATTAGGACTAGAAAAATTATTTTTGTTATTATATCAAAAATCAAATTATGTCAAAAATTTTAAACCATAGAATAGCCTAGAAAAAATGACGCACACAGATGTTCACAATCTCAGAGCAAAACAAAACAAAATCAAATTTCAAATCAAGAGAAAAAAGAAATTTAGATCGTGATAAAATAAATAAATGAACAAGTGATCATTCTTCAAAAGGATCATTCTACTTAACCTCAGCCCATCAGTTCCCACATCCACACATTCTCTCCCATACTCTACCCACAACCCACTAGTAAAAAAAAAAAAAAAAAAATTAAGATGGGTTGGTGGGTGCAGCAAACCACCATGGCACATGTATACCTATGTAACAAACCTGCACGTTCTGCACATGTATCCCAGAACGTAAAGTATAATAAAAAATGAAAACAAAAAAGGATTCCTTGTGTATGGAAGTTTCTGTCACTTTCCCACCATTACATCAATCCAGTGCCAATAGGTTGTTGCTGGCTTTAACATTATTTTTTGAAAATATGACATTTCTATGACATTCACAACGAACAAAAACATTTGTTTCTAAGAGAATTCTGGTGTTATTGTTAGGAACATGTGCGCCATGATTACTTAGTAGCCTAATATTAAAAATATCTCTTTTATAATTGTTAAATAAAAATAAAATGATTATTTTTTGAAGAGAAGCACTGATTTAGAAGATAGATTGACGAGTTGGTTGCATGCTTTTTATACTTACACTGTGACAAAATTTCACAGCATACCTTTTTGAAAATGCAACTATATTTAAGGTACATAATTATTATTTTAAATTAAATTTCATTCATTAGTATTTCATAGGTCTTTTCAAGATATTCTATAATGACTGAACATCTTATTTTCCCTAATATACAGAATTTGCCTTTTAATAAATTGTTTTATTCTTTGTAAAAGAATCTCTAATTAACAGTCTCTGGAAATACTTTGTTGCTTCCTAAACAGTAGAAGGAACAACGCTTCTCAAGTGCTTATCCTTTGTTGATGATGCTTAGATTAGTTGATGATGTTGTCAACCTCTACTTTCCTAAACTCCAGCTTCTAGAAGGTCATACAATATACTTTTATTTTTCTAACTGCATTCCTGACTATCATCTTTTCCAAAACCTCCTCCCAATCTTTTCCCCTAGGCCATTTCCATCATTTCATTGCTGCTGGGACTGGCAAACCCACAGCATATGTACTACTAGTCACCTCTATACCTCCTGTGGTCAACACTGCTACTTAACCACAGCATTTCCCTCCCATAACACAAAACGAGCAATGATGTGTCGTGGGTTCATCAGTCTTAGATTTCAGAAAATACATTAATACTTATCTGTTTTGTGATTGCATACGTACTTGACTGATCTCACCTATTCTAAGCTGCTTAAAGGCAAGGCTCATATTGTCCTTTTTTTCCCCCCTTCCCTCAATACTAAAATCAATGCCCTGCCTAAGGCATAACATCGAATAAATATTGGCATGAATGAAGCACAGAATTAGTCATCAACTAGAAAAAGTAGTTAACATCCTAATTATGATAAACACATTTAAAAATAAATGTTAATTTGTCCTTTGAACCTCATTGATGCAGATATTTTTCACAATCTACTCAATAATTATGGTTTTCCAAAGTCTTAATTTGAAACCAAGTGACTGAACTTACCAAGAAATTTAGTGTAATAGACATTTGACAAGTAAATACAAAACAAATTCATTATTTAATCATTCATCTCTTAAAATTTATTAGATTATTCTCAATGACATTGACACTACTTTTGTCTTACTTCTTATAGGATTTTATAGATTTCTCATGAAAATAGAAAAATAATTTATACTTATTTTAATAAATTAATATCCTTTATAATGTAGTACATGATTTCATTTGAATGTATAACTTTCTTAATTGCATTTGAAATACAATTCTTTAAAATGTGTGTTTTGTTTGGCTGTGTCTATAGAAATAAAGTAGAAGTTCAACCTGACCCAAATTCTGTCAATTTATTGCCAATAATTCTGATTATGTATTTTGATTTTCTGTTATTTTTTATAATAACACTATGTGTAACTGAATAAGGATGACTATCATCTGTTGCACAGGAGTTTATAATCAACCAACAGCAAGTAGATGAAATCAATCTGCTTTTGTATTGAATTTTGTTTTCATTGTTTAGAACCAGTTGTATATAAATGTTAATTGTTTATAACTGTCTCACCTTTCATGGTAAAATCTAAGTGAAAAAGTAAATTTTATAACAAAAATATTCTGAATTAGTTCAAATCATTTGAAGGAGATTAACAATATCTTTTTTTAAAACTTGGCATTATTTTCTTGAATTCTTAAAAGTAATATACGAATAAGTTATTTCTGGATCTAGTACTGTCCACAGGCTACAGTTACATAAATAGTTTAATTCTTCTCATATTGGTCAAATATATATACTTTTAAAAAGACTGTATATATTGGAGGACATGAGATGAATTACATTTTTTTTTTCTTTTTGAGATGAAGTCTCACTCTGTCGCCAGGCTGGAGTGCAGTGGCGCGATCTCAACTCACTGCAACCTCCACCTTCTGGGTTCAAACGATTCTCCTGCCTCAGGCTCCCAAGTAGCTGGGACTACAGGTGTGCGCCACCATGCCCAGCTATTGTTTGTATTTTTAGTAGAGACGGGGTTTCACCATGTTGGCCAGGATGGCTCGATCTTTTGACCTCATGATCCATTCGCCTGAGCCTCCCAAAGTGCTAGGATTACAGGCATGAGCCACCATGTCCAGCCTGTTTCTAGCTTGCCTCAAGCTAAAAATATTAATAAATATTAAGCAACATAAACTGTCTATATAGATTTTTCCTCAAGAAAGATATTTCAACATCAACGAGTCTTTTAGAGTATATTAATGACTGTCTTATATCCTATAACTTACAGAGTTTAATTGAATTTGGAAAAGCACACAACAAATAGTTTGAAAGCAATTAAATTTGTTTTGTTCAGAGGATACTAAATAACCTGTAGAATGTTATACTGTTCAAAGTTATCTTAGTACATTCAAATATAGATATAGCATATATTTGCTAAAAATCTGTTAAAAATTCCTAATACTTCATGAGTTAATAAATGTTGGGAATTATTGATTGGAAAAAAAAGTAGTTTCTATTTTTTTTAAATACTAAAGGAATTCAAGATTTCAAACGAAAAGTAGACCATTACTCATTAGAAGAAAAATAGTATGTTTATGTGATATATAAACAAAGAAAATATGTAACATTTTACTACATACATCATTTAGAAGTAACCACTACAATTCACACACATACCATTACATATATAAGTCATATATAATTGTTATAGTTTTCCTGCCCAAATTTACATCAACATAATCTTTATGAATGATTTCCTTGTCTGCTTAATTTAAAAATATTTTTTAGTTTAATTTCATTTAAATTTTAATTGCTTTACTTATTTGGCATCATCTTTACACACTTCATAATTTTATATGCTGCATGGTATCTCATCCTCTATTTTATCAAAACAATGTTTTTCACACAGTCTTTGATGATTATGACCTATACATCATTCAAACATATAAAAGGGAAATAGAATATTCTGTTATTTTTATATGGCTGTACACATAAGAAAATGCCATATATCAGGATATATAGAAACATCTAAATATCTGGCAGCACGTGGACAGAATATATATGATGATAAATCAATTTGTCAAACTCTCTTTAGACATATGCTCATCGTGTACACACCATCTTAAGGCATTTCGTTATGCCATAGACCCTCTAGGGGTTTTGTTTGATTATGTTATTTTATAGACATGACTATTGAACAATCTCTTTACTCTTCTGCAATTGTCATTTTTTAAGTATAAAATGTTTATAAAATGTGGATTGTAAAAAGTAAGGAAATATTAAAGACTGTTTCCACATAATATCACAATTCCTGCTATGTACATTTATTCAAATAATCATCTAAATAAAGAACCCACAAATTGAGTATTTTATTCAATTAACTAATTGTCAATAAAAATGGTCAATCCAATAGCCTGTAGAGATGAAAACAAATCAGAAAATGACAAATCTATTTGAACTTCACAAACAAAAGCAGTTTGTCCTCCTTCAGATACAGCGATTACTTTAGTTCAATAAAAAATCTATTAAAATTCAGGTTTGAATTTCTAAAATCCTATTCATCTAGACAAAGATGTAGGAAAAAATTCCTTTTCACAAAAATGTGTATTTTCCCGTGAGTCCTCAAGAAAGATGTTAGGTTTGAAAGGGGAGATGTTCATGTTAGCTTAGTTCTTTGGAGTCTCTAAAGGAAGGAAATAATAACGCTTTTATTTGATCAAACATATATTATTTCCAGAACTCCATCTACATCTACATTCAAATGTAAATGAAAGAAGGTGAAAAAAAAGAGGACCAAGAGTCAAGAGTCATGAATCCTCTTGGTATAGGCTAGCCTCTTCACACCTTTGTATCATTTCTCCCTCTTCTTCAATCCCAGACTTGGACTACATAATTTTCAAAAATGTTTATGGTTGTGTATCTTTAAAAACAGAGCTACTTAAAATGAGTTTTTAGTTAAGCATTTACTGTATTAAAGCACTTGTTTAACATGGAATTCTAGCAAGTCAATTTAGGGCGAAAACATGGGATGATACAAACAAAACAAAACAAAACAAAACCCAAGAAACCAAAGGAAAAGGCTAAATGGGCAAACCAGGAAAGTTTGAACTCTAAATAACTAAAATCACAAAAGAAGTTTACAAGGTTTCAATTTTAAAGAATACTTCATACATACTAATACAATTATTTATTTTCATGTCTTATTTAGTACTAAACTTCCTAGCATATAATGCAAAATTACAAATTTGTAAATAATAGTATTCATAATGAGAAAGATAAAACAGAAATCTTTTATTTAAGAAAAATAACAAAATTCTACATTATACTAACATCAAGAACTTATACAAAAGTTCTCAAAAATAGAACATCTTCTGAACTAATGAACACTGATCTCATAAAGATGCCATAAATGATTTTCTATTACAAAGTCTATCAGAATAGTATTTCATGGCTCTAAACTTTAATAATTCCAGAAACTGAAAGAAACTGATCAGTAACTTTTAAAATGTATTTTAAAAAATGAAAGAAACATACAATGAAAAACTTTTCAACTATGGATTTATAGGATGACCATATTTTATTGACAGAATTATTTGATAATGGTTTTAGAAAAGCAGACACCAAACAAATCAAGCAAACAATCAAGAAACAGAACAATAAAGGAACAAACTAAAACTAAATAAAGAAAAGCATGCTATAGAATCTATACACAAGATAAAATTTCCATTTACAAAAAATAAAATTGAAGTAAACATGCAAAAGACACACCAAGAAAAGTAGGATACATCTCTGCAGAAGGGAAATTAAACATGCAGAAAAATAAGAGTTTGAGTTTTGAGAGTAACAGGGTAGTTTGAGGCCCAATTTACCTTCACTGTCTGACATGGCATGTTGGAAGTCATCCATGATGAAGGCTATGTCACGGTCATAGCCTCGAGTCCGTGATTCTTCCCTCATGTGTTGCTGAACTTCAGGCAATGAGTGGCTTGATCCAAACTGATCCCTGGTGTCTGCAGATATTGGTGGCAGGGGTCCAGCTGCAGCCCTGGCCATTCCCATTGGCTGGCCAACAGGACTGAGTGGGCTTTCTTCTTCAGAATTCTGGGCCACAATTGGTATTCTTCCTCTACTTTGACTAATTGGCAAACTGGTCGGCTTAGTTCTGGCAGAGGATGATGCGTGACTAAATGAAACATCTAGAGCTTCAGCCTCTTGAGCTTTCAGTCTTAGGGAAGAGCTAGAAGAATCCCTTTTAATTGATAAATCAAGCCCATAGACAGAGGAAGGTCTGGAGGAGGGTCTGGACCTGCTGCCACTACTGTATGGCTTATCTGCTTCATCCTGCAAAGCTGAGCGTATGGTATTTCCTAATGTGCCTAGTCCTGTGCCAAGAGAGGATCCCATAAATTTCTGTTGGTCTGTAATATTTTTTCTGAGGCCAAAAGTGATGTCATCTTGAAGAAGCCTTGCCCTAGAGGAAATGCCACCAATAGATGAAGTGCTAGAAGTCATATAGCTTGAATAGTCAGGTTCAAGGTCTCTACTTTCTTGAATAGGTGAAAATTTTGACATTTTAGGGTCAATTAGTGATTTCTTATGCTTTGACTGCTTTTGATAAAGTATGGCTGCTGGCAGTTGTTTTGCTGCTTGCTTTTCAAGTGTGAGTCTACTGATGCTATACTTCTCAGATTTTGGAAAATGTCTATAGCTAGTATCAGCATGGTAATAATGAGAAAGACCAGCGAGGTGATCTAAGCTCTCTGTCCCTCGACGAAATTCCTGTTTAATCTGATGTTTCAGAAGCTTTAACTCATAAGGATCCTCCATTGGGTCTTCCTCTGCCTTCACATAACTATGCAATCTAGAGGAAGACTGTAAAGGTGCTAGGAAATCTGTCACTTCTTGAGACCGGCGTGTCTCAGTGGTTCGAAGGAGACGGTCTGTTTTTGACAGATCCTTTTCATGAAGGCTAAATGCGGTGCTTAACGCCGCTGTTCCTTTGGTGATCTCTCCAATGTCGTCAATTAGGACATAATTTCGTGGAGTATGGTGATCAATATCTGCATAGAAAGAATCTGCGGATATGCTTGATATTGGACTGCTTGCCATGCTACTTCTTTCCTCTAAACCTATTCTCAAGTCTAAACTATTGTACTTACTACCAAGATGGGAAACAGCGTATGTGTTATCAGTAGAAACAGGTGCTATCATAAGGGGTTGGTTGCGAATCACTTCATAGTTTGAGGTTATCTTGGGCTCCAAATATAATGTAGTTTGCCGTGGCTTCTGTTGTATCACCATCATCTGTGAAGGTAACTGATAAGAAGGCTGTGGGGTTGGCGTAGGTTGAGCTTGAGGTGTGAAGGACATTGTTGCCACAGCTTGGAATGTTGGCTGAGTCTGATAAGGTGAAACTTGCTGATGGTACAAAGTTTGTTGCTGAAAATGAGACTGTTGGGTGTATGAGGTGGGTGCTTGGGTAGGAAGAGCAGGGGAAGAGTATTGGTATTGTGTGTAAGGACTTGTCGGAGGAACTAGTTGAGATTCTGTTTGGGTTTGTGGTGGTATAAACTGGCTGAATTCAGTTTGGGGAGCAGTTCTTGGTCGCTCAATGCCATGCTGACTTTCTATTCGGGCTGGTCTTGTGCTACTTACTTCACTGTCAGACATGTAATCACGATCCTCAGCTACTCCCTGGAGGTAAGCTCGTTCTCTCTTTTCTCTCTCCTTTAATAATGCCTCTTTCCTCCTGTTAATTCCCATTTCCAGGTATCGTAGCTTGGCATCAATCTCCTTTTCTTCTTCATCAAGCTCTGCTTGTTTCTTTCTAAGCTTTGCAGATTCCCTTTCCACAAGATCAAGCTCTCTGTCTATGTCCTGGAGAATCTTGGCTCGTGCCATTGTGTTGGTTCTGCAGATCCTTCTCCTGGAAACTGTGCCCATTGTGCTGAATGTGGATTGAGTTCCTGTGGAAATCTCCTCAGGAGGTGGATTTGGCAGAGTTCTTTTAACTTTTTTCTGGGCTCCAGAGGGTGTCATGGTTTGAGAACCTTTAGTCTATAATCAAGTAAACAAAATATAGTACTTTATTATAAAGAAAAATAAAATAAAAACCAAATCAACTTCCATGAATTATATTTAATAAAAATGATTTCCCATATGATTTTGCTATCACAGCATGATAAAATAAAATATATACATATAATTTCAAATACTGGTCACCAATACAATTAACTGAAAAATAATATTTTAAATAAATTGGTTAATTGTAACTCCTATAACATTAGCAGTTATAAAAACTCATTTTTCATCTAAATTAATATACATAAGATTATTTACTGAATCTATTTCCCAAGTGTTTTGTTAACCATCTAAAATTTAAATTACATTTGTTGAAGATGTTCATTTACCATGTGACATTGATATTACGCCTATCTTCTCATTCCTACTTTTGACCCCTGGAGTGGTTGTCATTCCTATTTTTTAAATTACATCTTCAAATTATCTAATACTTTTTTTTTTTCCTAAAAAAGGGATAGTCTGGACTAATTTTCTATTTAATATTTCAAGATTTTCATGACTATTTGGATCTTATGTTTTCTTTGACTTTATTATCCTGCAGTACAGTTTCTTTTTAATACTCTAGTAACTTCCATGTGAAGCAAAAATAACTGACCAATAAAAATCCACTGGCACCTTTTAAAAAATCAGATAAAAGTATAAAGTTGGTGAGTTTTCAGATATTTTTCATTTTATTTGGTTAATTTGTCATAAACTTGCTTTCTAAGAATTGAAGGTCTTGAGAATCATACAATTTTAGAATATCAAAAGACATGAGAGATTGCTTTGAGCACTTATAGTTAAAATAAACTGATGTACTCAAAGTTACCTAAGTGTTCAGTGGCACATTTACAACTAGATCTCAGGTCTTTTGCTATCCAGTTGCATATTCTTTAAAAGATGATTTCTTTTCTTTTCTTTCTATTGTAATCCAAATACATTAATTCTCCAATTTTTCCCCAGTCACCAAATATTGAGGGCAGAAAACAGAAAAAGTAAGAGTCTATAAATGTTGTACCTGAAAATTGTACCTTATTAATTAGATCACATTTTTCCAAGACTCTGTACTTTCATTGCCTTTTAATTATTTCCAAATTCAATTTCCTTGATAGTTTTTGTCTGTTTTCTGTTATCATATTTCTGCTCCCGTCATGTAACCCCACTATTTGTTCCCTTAATAGACATCATAATATGAAACAAAATCTTAAATGTTTATTGAAGTTTATGTGTTTCTAAAATTTAAAATATTTGGATGGAAATGAATAAAGGTTATGAATCTTTGAAATAAGGTAAAGTGACTTTGGTGCAGTAGTTTGTTTTTCCTCATAGAGCAATCCCAAGGTATATGGGGTATTGAAGTTCCCAAGGCAGCTGTTTGACATGTCATTTATTTCTTCCTACTCATCCTCAATTCTTTTCATTTTATAAAACACTCACAATTAAGTCACAGAATTGTTATAAAGATCAAGTGAGACAACTATGTAAAATACTTATTTCACATTACAGGTACCCATTAATATCAGTTCCTGTAAAAGTCTCTGTATTTCTATAGAAAACTATGGTTTCTTGATTAACCCACATTCTAGATCTCTACATTTTTTTTTCACTTGTAAAAAAGTGCACATGTAACATGTTGAATATCAATGGGCCATAATTAAATGGTAATAAAATAAAAATTAAGATTCTACAATAATTTTCTTGATATTTTTCAAAAATATTAACATGGATATGTCATGTTTTTTAAAAAGTTGTTCCACAACAACATCTTCAGTCCTCTGATTATAATGTTGTTCAACAGGAGGCTAAAAACTACATACTATTTGTTTTTTCTTACTATGTATGTGGTAGATCTGGTATATGCATAAGAATTTGAAAATTTAAAATGTTTACCTATTCTACATGATTATGATTATGAAATGGTTTGACAAAAGGGTATTTAATTGTGTTACTCAAGATTGTGATGCCTAACAAAGATGCAATAAAAAGAGAATATGAAACGAAAAATATGACCAATCTTTTATTCTAATGTTTGGTGACTATCAGAAGTTTTAAATATAACCACTGATAACATTTTCATAGTCCAAATAACTTAATAATGGTTGAAAATTCAAGTCCCAAAGAAGCCCAGAGTAGAAGCTATATTTGAACTTGGAAGTCACTTCTTTTCAAAATGCACATTACAAATAATTATATATTGTACGCATCTGTAAGGTAGGCTTGCACTTCTTGCGCTTAGGCGAGAAAAAAGAGAGCAAATACCGACCAATCACTATACTTGTCATATGCTCTTATGTGTTGATGGGTGCAGCAAACCAACATGGCATGTGTATACCTAAATAACAAACCTGTACATTCTGCACATGTATCCCAGAACTTAAAGTATAATTTTAAAAAAAGAGAAAAAATTATAGGTCATATCAGGAAAGTTCTACTGGGAATGAAAATGGAGGATTACTTGACTATTGCAAAGGCTATAACCCAAAAGCCTACGGGAGCCAGAAGGTAATGGAGTGAATGTGTTGACCTGAGAATTTAAGTTCCATCTGTCAAGGCTGGCTCCAGAATATTGTTGCCATGAAGAAATAGAGACCCAGTGTGATGAGATCTGTTTCATTCAAGAGAAGTAGGAAATCCACATTTTTAAATTTTGGTCTCTATTTTAAATGGTTTTAAAACATAGTTCAGCCCAAAGAAACCAAGGCTTTTAGCTGCACTGACAGTTTGAAATAAATCTTTGTTCTAAAGAAGAGATTTATTTCTTTAGAAATAAAGAAATAAATGGATGCCCACTGAGAAACCATTAGAGGATGAAACAGCATTAATGGCTAGTTGAGAGAAAGCAATAGATTTTAAACAATGAAGGAGGATGTGGGAAGAATACAAGAGCCCTAAAGAAAAACTTCAGTCCTTTATTAGAGTTTTCTGTCATCATTTGGTTAAATTGTAATTATGATCATTCATGAATTTTCCTCCAGAGCATAAATTTTCTTTTAGATTTTCCCTAAAATACATAACTCTTCAATTCACTTAGACAGATATTTATTAAATGTCTCTTCACTTCAAAGCACTTTGCTAGGCACACTTACACAAAGAGGATCCAAACTATAGAACCATTAGAACCCCACAGATTTAAATTTAAGCATGTCTGTGAGGGGTGTGTACTATGTTTTAGGACTGTTAGTATCACTTAAGAGGGCAGACAGATATATAATAAAGAATTTGAAGTAATGTCTTACCAACTTATAATTCAAAAAGAACTGACTCTGACAAAGACAATAAAAACTTCTCAACTAAGTATTTAATTCTAATTAAAAAAACCTCTCAACTAGGTATTTATTTCTAATTAAATCAATATAACATGAAATAAGAGTTCAGAACTCCAAATACAGAGATAAAAGCAATACAATATTATTTATTTTAAAAAGATCAACATTGCATAAAGAAAGTTTATTATGATTAAAGATGATGTAGCTGGAAGCCATGACTAAAGATGAGACAAGACAGTCTAGAAAAAAACTTGTTATTTACTATGGATTTCTGTGTTGACCAGCTCTTAAAAGTTGTTTTCATATAGATCTGGTGCCTTTAATCTAGAAAACAAATCATACTAAATATACTGGATATATAAATTTAAAATATTTTAAAATAGCTGTGAAAATAGACAAAGAGAGAAGAACAAAAAAACCATAATGATAAAATAAAGGTTGAAGAAAGACTGGGAAAAAATCACCAACTGTAGATTGCAACATCAATGAGGTAATCAAGCTAACAAGCAAATAACTTTCAGGATAAGGTTTGCTGTCCAAAGTAATTTTAAAGAACATTTTCCTTAGGAATGTTAATTTATATAATGCAATTTATATCATTTCTATATGGCAAAGGAAAGGAACTTTTGCTTGTTTTGGAGTGTCAAGAATATTAATGAAAATAATAAGTAAAGTACCTAGACACATTATCCTAAGTGACTTAAATATATGTATATGCATTAATTCATTGTCAAAATTCTCTGAGCTCAACATGAGGATGATAAAAGAAGGATCTGTAGTTTTTTTAAACATTGAAAAAACTAAAAATACATAGGGGCTATTGTTTAAAGTCCTAGATGCTAGACCAAAATTATTCATCCAGTATTATATATAATAAATATGAAAACATTCAATTTATTGATGTATTCAAATAGTTGTTAAGTATAATTCTAAAATGCATTGCTCTAGATGCTAAAGGCATAGATACAAGAGACACTAGATGGAACAAATCTACACTTTGCCGACAAATAACTAATAAATTATGAATATTTTTTGGGAAATTGTTGTTTGAAGAAACTACCTCACTATACTGCCCAAAGCAACGTATAGATTCGATGGTATTTCTATCAAACTACCAACAACATTTTCCACAGAATTATAAAAAACTATTCTAAAATTCATGTGGAACCAAAAAATTGCCCAAATAGCTAAAGCAATCCTAAGCAAAAACAAACAAACACAAAGCTAGAGGCATCATACTATCCAACTTTTTAAAACTTTACTACAAGGTTATATTAAACAAAACAGCATGAAACTGGTACAAAAACAGACACATACAACAATGGAACAGAATATAGAACCCAGAAATAAAGTTGCACACCTACAACCATCTGATCTTCAACAAAGCTGATGATAACTAGAAAAGGAGAAACGACTCCTTATTCAATAAATGGTGCTAGGACAACTGGTTAGCCACATGCCAAAGATTGAAACTGGACCATTTCCTTACACCATATACAGGAATCAACTCAAGGTGGTGTGAAAACTTGAATGTAAAACCTACAACTATAACAACCTTAGAAGAAAACCTAGGAAATGCAATTCTGAACATGAGACTTGGCAAAGATTTCTTGAAGACGACTCTGAAAGCAATTGTAGTGAGAACAAAAGTGGACAAGTGGGATCTAATTAAAGAGATTCTGCACAACAACAACAACAAAAAAACAAAAAACAAAAAAACAAAAAAACAAA